ATCCAAGCCCAAGGCGCCCTACATGCGCCGGCTCCCAGAAAGCGTGTCCCCGTACGGGTTCCGAGTCTAGATGGGGGCCGACTGCCAAGGCCACGAACCAGAGGACTTCGAAAGCGAGCAGCTTGATGTAGTGGCGGCACGATGTATGAGGTCCCTCGAAGCCGAGTGTGTACCAGCCTTGGGCATGCCTCTCAGCACCGCTACATGGTACGCCAACAGCCAGGTGGATCTCATAACCGACGCGCTTGGACACAGCTTGGACACAGACCACTCCAAGGGGAGCCTGGTGACAGAACCCCAAGGAGCATTCGACGGTTCACAGTGGCACTCAGAGTCAACAGTGCCCCGCGTTGTCTTGCGCACTCCGAACGGATCAGGTTTGCAGCCCGCTGTTTTGCACGTGGAGCAGCTATTGGCCACATGCACAGGAGGAACGACGACACAAGCACACGACGACCAGATTGGCCCCCGCAGGGAAACGCAGATTTCCGAGGTTGGGTATTGGAATGTAATGAGTGGCTCAACGGAACGAGCGGACGCGTGACCCCACAACAAAAGGCCGCTGCACTACAGCGCGGCACAAGCGGAACCGCACGTCACATTGCGATGGGAATTCCAAGCAGTGACACCATGTACGGAGTTGAGATAGAGGGGACCCGCACGGACCCAGTCATTTAACTCATGCCCATCCTGAGCACCAGGTTTGAATCACTCGACGGCGAAACGCAGCTGATCTCAGGAGCCCTGCTGACTAATTCCCATGTTAAACTCCGGATAAAATGATGAGACGCTGTCCACATTCGAACTCGCACGGCTCGAGGCAACGCCTGCGGGGGTCGAGATCCCGAAATTTGAATTGTTCATTACTGTATTGTTCCGAGCCCGCGGTGTTATTCCGCAGAGGGCTGTCACACTGCTGCAGCCACTCAACGGACAAGCGCCTCGCACCCAGCAGCCGCATGATGACCGAGTCGAGCGCACACGCTCCAGAGGGCACACTGAAAGAGCTCCCAGTTGTCGGAAGCACTTTCGGCCGAGGCCGAGGAAACGGACGAGACACCACGCACACCGACATCTTCAGGACCAACGACAGGCCTCAGCTTGTATGAGGATCTGCGGGCGGAAGCCCTGCAAAGTTCTCCCGATCGAGCGACATAGCTTCTTCAGTCCAGAGTGGGGAGCTGGCGGACTTTCCACCAGGGTCTCCTCAACCATGAGTAGCCCTCCGGGGAGACATAAGGGCGTCACAGGCTCCTCCTGAAGTCTCAGTCAACTCAGGAGAACATGCCGACACCGAGTCCTCAGATGGCATGGAGGATTTGGTCCGTTCTGACAGAACGGGATCCGCAAATCCATGCGAGGCAGCCGGATATCTGTGTTGGGCAACGCTTCATGCCAGGAGGCGATGGCGGCGATGTATAAAGAAATTTGCGCGTGGAGAACGACGCAAGGTCAGACGATTGATGGGAGGCAAAGGACAGGGGAAAGGAGGACGGAGACGTCTGAACGAAGCATCGCATCATTCATCTCTAGTCTTTCGAACGATGAATACGACGACACACTTAGCGATGGACGCGGTAAAATGACGGGTAGACGAACCTCTGGAAAATGAAGATGCGTGACGGGAAAATCCACGAGGACGCGACGGGCAATTCATGACATGTCACGATTGCGGCAGTGCCAAACAGCTGACTTAACGATGCCCGAAAGAGCAAGGTAAGGGACAGGGAGAGGCTTCCGCAGCTCACTTTGGCCCAGATGATACCAAGCGAGAACTTATCTTCCTCCGAACACCGCGTTTTCTTTCTCATTGCGTACACTGACGAGATCTGTCACGCCATGGAGACCGATCTTTGATTACTTATGATGAAGCGCAAAGAACGATGATGGAAGCACATCCTGAAACCACCCCGATTCATTTCCAAGAACGGCTCGGGACAGATGATGGAAACGATGGCGGCGACCCCGACGCCGAGCGCTGGGACACGGAGACAGCCCCCGCCACTCAAGAAGAGTGTCAATAACATGCGAACCGGAGTGCGAAAACGCACACTCTCGTGACGGCATGCCTTACGAGCCCCCCGATTGGGCCATGACTTGACAACGAGATTGCCCAAGTGGAGAGCGTCATTCTCAGTCGAGGCGCGCACTACCGATGACAAGCGCCTTGAGACATTCAGGGGTGCATGCGGCGGCACGGGCTGAAGGAACCCCCCCGACAGCCCCAGAGCCGCCACAGTCGGAGATGGATTGGGCAACGAGGGTTCCCTTCTCGCAGTGTTTGGAGGACTCCCGCCAGGACCTCTGCCCCGAAGAGGGGGCCGCGGTCCTGCCAGCGACGCGCGAGGCTGCGGGCCTGGAGGGCGTCGCCGACGAGCGGCCAGACCCCCGCCCCGGGCCTTGCGCGGCGCCTGGGCCCCGCGCTGCGTCGGGAGCAGACGATGCGGGCCGAGCGCATCCAGCAGGAGCGGGCGCAGCTGGGCGGCGGCTCGGCGCCCCGCCGCGCCGCGCGCCCCGGCGGGAGCCGCCGGCCCGGCGCCGCCGGCAGTCGCGGGGCAGCAGGGAGCGGTCGGCCGGCGCAGGCCGGGCCGCAGCGGCCACGCCGGCGACCGAGGCCTTCGGGGAGAAGCGCGTCGAGTGCTGGCTGGCGCCCCAGGGTTTGGGACTCTTGTGCCGGCGGCCTCCACGTGCCGGCGCGTGGCTCGAGCGCGGCCTTCCACGGGCCCGGCGGCGCGGCAGCGCTCGTGCAGGAGCACGGGGCCACGACGGAGATGCCCGGCACGGTCTTTGTCCGCAAGATGCGCGCGATCGCGGCAGCAGCGCGCGCGGAAGGCGTCCATTGATAGGGTTTTGGCGGCGGGCTGCCCCGCACCATCCACGTTTCTACCTTCGGTGGCTGCGCGCTCTGCGACACGGCGGCGCGACACTGGGTCAATGGCTGGAGCGCCCTGCCCCTTCCGCAGGAAGAGGCGGGTAGGGAGGCTTCTTTTAGAAGGCCCCCCTCTCCCCCATCCCCTCTCCCCAGATCTCCGACGGCATGATGTTTCAGGCCCGGCAGCTGTCCCGAGTCTCGGCCACTGGGGCCCCTGATCGGGCCCCGAGGCAAATCGGAGGTGGATTCGGGACGGAGCGGCCGCGGATGTCTGCCAGATGTCTGGGCTCGCACGCCGCCGGGGCGGGTCTGCTCTCCTCCTCGCCGAGGCTCGAGCCAGGCGGGCGCCGCAGCAAACCAGACAGCACAAGAACCAGACAGCACAGGCTCACGCACCTACGCGCACCATGCTTCGGAAGTTGTATTATACCTGGCATCGCTCGGACGTGTGCATTTTTCTCGGCGAGGACCATCGAGAAGCATCCTTGATCATTTGGCGAAAGAACCACGCACGAAACCCAAAAAAAATACAGGGAATGGACGTCCGAGCGATGGCCAGTATACTGCTACACACGTGGGCTCTGTAGCTCACCAGTAGTTGTCCGAATAGTATGGTCTACCGGCGTTTAGGTGCCAGAGCAGCGCACTGGCTTACCCCAGCGTTCCAGCCCCGATTGAGCGGGCGCACCTGCGTGCGGGTTGGTGAATACGCATTCGGAATACCAAGATAACGAAGAGACCAAGAACATGGGACAAGAAAAAGAGCGCAGCATCTTCGCATTGTTGCTGATGAGTATTTCGCTCCAGTTCTCTGTTATTCTTAGAGGTGTGTGAGAGGGGGCAGGCCTTCTCAGAAGGCGGCGTGGCTTCCTAGAAGGCTTCGTGGCGCCCTTCCAGAAGCTTTGCCAACCCTCTCCGAAGCCACAGACGACTTCCCAGAAGGCCGGAGGTCCTTGTGGGAAGCCCCCTGAGGCCTTCTGAGAAGCCCGCCGGCATCTGAGAAGGATAGCCTTAAGTCGGCCTGTCCCTCTACAGGGGGAATATTCGAAAATACTCCAAAAATCATCTGGGGGCGATTATTTGCATCTGTCATGCGTTTTGTTTGGCCACGTGTAGAGCAGGTTTGATCCTTCGTCCAAACTCCGCCTGTAGGGGGACACGCCCGACCTGAGGATAACCCCCGCTCACTTCCTCCCTGGGCTCGCCGCCGAATCTCAGGGCAGGCAGCCGAGCCGGCAGAGGGCGGGCTCTCTCCCCTCCCGGGCAGGGCTTCGAGGAGGGAGGTCGAGGCGCCAGGAGACGGGGGCACAGCACACGGGGGCACTGGGAGCGCCGATATCCACGTTTGGCGATGCCCCGGAGGGGAAAAAGCACAGACACAATTAATCGACGATTCCCAAGAAAATATAGGAAAATATGGGAAGTGGGGGGGAAGACAGAAACCCAGAAAATACGAGAAAATATGGGGAATCATGTTATTTGTGTGTATTTATTTGTGTGCCTTGGGGCCCCTTCACATGCCCCCGTTTCGGGGGCCCTGGGCGCCGCAGACGGGGGCACAGTGAACGGGAGCAGATGGAAAAACCTGAGCCCCCGCTCAGCTGAACCCCGTTCACGAGGCCCCGAGGAGGAGCACGGGTGTTCACGGCTCGGTCTGCTCGGTGGCGTGGCAGGCGGTCGCGTTCGGCCGGTTCGGTTCGGTTTGCGAGCGTGCTGTTACCACGTCGTTGCGCCCTGCCGAGCTGCTCTCGGCATGCCGATGTCGGTCGGTGTCGATGTCGCTGTCGGGTCGGCCGGTGTTCGGCGTTGCTGTCGCCGCGCACGGCTTCGAGGAGGGAGGGGGGGGGGGCAGGCTAGGTGCGCTCGCGTCATATCTGACGTCCTGCCCCTCCCTCCCATCCCTTACCATGGCGTAGATCTCCTCTCTACTCGCACAGTCGGATGGCGAGCAGGGCAATGATCGCGAGAGGGTGCGCGATGCATCGTAGAGCACGGCATGGCATGGCGTAGAAGAGCGCGGCAGAGCGTAGAATGTCATAGCATGGCGTGTCATTGCGTAGTGAAGCATTGGGGGGGAGGGGCAGCGGCGGCGGCGGCGGCTGCGGCTGCGGCCGCGCGCGGCGCGGAGGCGCGCCCTGCATCCAGCCCCACGAGCTGGAGGCGCGGTGGCAGGCAGGCACCGCGCCCACTGGAGGGCTGCGATCTGGGCCTCCCAGATGGGGTCCGAGGAGATGGGGTCGAAGGATTGCGCCGCATCGCCGCTGCATCGCGCGAGGCATCGCCAGAGGCATCGTCCATGCATCGGCGACGTTTGCGATGCATATCGGCGACGTCGGCGTGGAGGAAGTCGGGCTACACACCGAGGCGCCTCGCCGATGCATCGGCGCTGCGGCGGCGATCCTCCGGCCCCACCTGCTCGGACCCCATCCAGGAGGCCTCCACCACATGAGAGGGGGCCGAGGATCAGGAGCGAAGGAAGGACGTGCACGGACATGAACCCACGCTGGTTTCGAGAGTACGCATGGCACGAATGTTCGCATCATGCGGCCGGTCTCGCGGATCGAGGGGCCGTGCTCATGTACATGGCTGGGCGCGTACGTCCTTTCTGGGCTCCCTAGAGGAGGAGGGCCGAGACTGGAGGACCGCTTTCGTCCACGAGCATGCGCGCGCTCGCCGCCCTCGCGCACGGGGCTTCCACCCACGAGGCGCTCCATCGGCGCGGCCCGCTGGCCGTCCGCTGGCCTGCAGCGCTCGCACCGCTCGGCGTTGCCGCCGGTCGGGCGTCGGGCCCGCGGAGGGCCGGGCAGGCCGCCAGGTTCGAGGAGGAGTATCGAGGGGGGTCGAGGAGAAGCCAGGAGGATCCAGGAGGACCGAGGCTGGAGGTGGTCGTCGGTCGCCGTCTTCAACGGTCGTCGCAGGCGTTGTCGTCGACGGTCGCCTGTCGTCGTCGCCGACCCCTAGAGGACGGCGAGGAGGAGGAGGAGGAGGAGAATGGAGGAGGAGGAGGAGGACAAGCAGGAGGAGGAGGGGGAGACGCGGAAAACGAGAAGTGTGAGGAGGAGGAGGAGCAGGAGCAGGAGGAGGAGGATAGACGAGGATCGATTGAGGAACGACGACAAGAGAAGCTTAAAACGTTCGCAGGTCAGCTCGGAGTCCATGGGTCGGCCCCGGACGCCCCCCCTGGCGGCGCCTCCGGCGCCGCCCTTGGCGCGCTCCGCGCGCCAGAGGAGGGAGTCCACAGTTAGGATCGGGTGATGTCTCGACTGCACGTACAGTCATGGTCCTGATCTCAGCGCGTGGTTGGGAATACGCCTATCCACGCTGTGTGCTCCGCACTCGGCGTGCATCATGCGCGGTTGGCACTCAGCGCGTACATCGGAGGGCCGTTTCACCCGACCCTGCTCGGCGTGTAAGCCACTGCGCTGCTCAGCGTGTCAACGGCTTCGGTTTCGCACGGCCCGAAATCACATACACGCTAGACATGGGATCATGACCGTAATAGACACCTTTCGCCGGAGTGACCTTTGGTGCGGGCCCAACGGGGCCCCTCAATCGCCGAATGCGAGGCGGTAGCAGCGGCTTGCGCGCCTGGCGGTGTCCAAAGAGGGCCCCTCTTGGCCGCGCACGAGAGGTCACTCTTGCCTAGAGTCACTCTTGTGTGTAGCCGATTGTCAGAGCTGGCCCTGGTGCAAGGCGCCCCTGGCTTCTTGCTAAATTTTCGAGCCCCTGGGGCCCTCAAGGCATCGATGGGAGTCTTGGGGCAAGCTTGGAGCCAAGAGCTTGGGCAATCTCAAATTGCTCGAAGCGTTGCGCGCCGCTGCAGGGGCACGCCGCACGTGGTGGAGCTCGCTCTCGTGGGGCTCTCTTTGGGCGGCAAGTGCCGTTGGGAAGGCCTGGCTGCGCGGACATGGATGCGGCACGCGCGCGGCAGGGCAGGATTCGCCAGGGAACCGTTCGCCGTAGATCAGGGAGGAAAAAACACCCGGACTGGACAATTGGCATTTACTAAACGGCCGTGGCCTTTATTACACAGCCCTGCCCTGTTTGATTCCTTCTTTGGGTGCGTTTACCAAACGGCTTCGCGCGTCGGGGTGGTAATTATCGGAGTGGATGTTCTGCCCTCCTGTATGGGCACGAGGGCTTAAGCCTCCGAGGAGGAGGACCTGTCCGCACCCTTGTCGCGCTGGCCCGCGGGCCCACGCGCGAAGTGCGTGCGCGAGGGGGTGCTTCTGCGGCCCGACGGCCAACCCCATGATCACAGCCGCGCGGAAGCACAGCCTCCTCCTCCTCTTCCTCCTCCTCCTCCTCCTCCCCCTCCTCCTCCTCCTCCTCCTCCTCCTCCTCCTCCTGCTCCTCCTCCTCCTCCTCCCTCCTCCCTCCTCCTCCTCCTCCTCCTCCTCCTCCTCCTCCTCCTCCTCCTCCTCCTCCTCCTCCTCCTTCGCCTCCTCCTCGTCGTTCCCTCCTCCTTCACTCCTGCCTCCCAGCCCTTCCTTCCTCCCTCCGCCTGTCCTCCCGCCGTTCTTTCACGCCTCCGCTCCTCGACACCCACCCCCGGGAGGCCGTGGCCGACGCCGCGGCGGCCGCGGCGAGCGCCGGAGCGGAGCCGGACCAGGGGCTGCTGGAGGAGGGCTCGCCGGGGCAGCGCAGGAGGAGGAGGAGGAAGCCAGGGGGAGAAGGAGGAGGAGGAGGAGGAGGAGAAGGAGGAGGAGGAGGAGGAGGAGGAGGAGGAGGAGGAGCAGGAGCAGGAGCAGGAGGAGGAGGAGGAGGAGGACGACGACGAGGACGACGAGGACGACGAGGACAACGAGAACGAGGACGAGGACGAGGAACACCCACAGCTGGCTCACGGGAACCACGGGAACGACCCCGCACACGACGCCCACCGCATTCGGGCTAGCAGCGGCGTGGACAAGGGGTGCCCGCTATCGCCGGCCTTTTTCGCAATTGGCACTGTGGAAACGCTCGCCGATGTCTACGCGCGCCTCCAGGTTCTCTCGCCCTCCTGCAGGGTTTGCAGCTACCTAGACGACATCCTGGTCTTCGCCCCGCTGGAGCACGCGGGCGCAGCCCTGCAGGTCGTGACTAGCACCCTCACGCGACACGGCCTTGCAGCCAACCGCCGGACTAAGACCCAGGCGTGGTGCGCTAAAGGGCGCGGCCGCTCGCCCGCCGCTATCCAGGAGCGCTGGGTGGACCATTTCACGCGCTTGGGAAACATTGCCCCTTGGCTCGTGCAGGGGAGGAGGAGGAGGAGGAGGAGGAGGAGGAGGAGGTGGAGGAGGAGGAGGAGGAGGAGGAGGAGGAGGAACAGGAGGAGGAAGAGGAGGAGGA